TGATACCATCACTATCACTGGATGATTTATTACCACATTTGTTCACTATCTCTATAATTTCCTTTTCAACTATGGGCTTCAGAAACATAGAACACATATTCCTTTCAATTGTATTGTTATTTATAGTGACGGATGTATCATCTGTACAAATGCTTCTTGCTAAACCAGGACCAACATTCACAAAGAACCTATTAAACTTATGTAGTACATCCTCCAATCTCTTGACCCGTGTATCATTATCCATGAAATATTGAGGGTAGTTACTCATGCTGGTACTGTTTCTAATCAATTTATTTAATATATTCCAAGTACCTCTCATGTTATTTTTATTATCCTCTAATACTTTAGCGTAATATTGTTTCTTACATATCCTCAAAATCTCATCTTTTTACATGCATTCTGTAATCCCTTACTCATCCACGGTTTCCCACTGTAATTCCTCTTGTTTTTATACTGCTTACGAGGACAGTTCCTGTCATATACTTCCATGAATATATTTAAAAATTGCTCATATGCTTTGTCTAAGTCTTCCTCTTTGTAAACTGCTTCCCAGTCTTGCCCCATAAAGTCCTCTTTTAGCCTCCTTACATCATGTTCGTTCATCACCCTCCTATAAAAAAACGTATTTCTCTCTAAATATTTTGCTCCTCCCAAATCTTCTTGGTCAACTATCCTGCTCGATTAGTTTCCCCTGCTCTCTAGATCGTTTAGTACATCTGCGTCGATAATTGTTGACCAACCCCGCAGCAGAGACAGCTTTCTTGTGGTTTCATTGATTCTGGTGAGTGTACCTCTGTTACAAAACTAGTCCAGGTGCTTTTGTGAGGTATGATATGTTCCCAGATCCAGTAAACCAAAGATTTCAGGATTAGCAGCAGGATCTGCTAATTTAATGGTCGTCTGTGACGACGTGATCGTTGCCGTTGCCGTTTCACCTGTGACACAGTAACTTTGTGGGACACTTATGTGACCGTAAACATGCTGAGATCTGTAAAAATAACTTAGCCTAATTCTAATTGCAGCCTGACAATATAAAGGTCAGCACTTGTATGTTGTTTTCTTGTGGTATGAAAGGACGGTTTCTAGTTCAGCCTTTATTGTCAGCAATGGAAGAAGTGTTCAGGTCAGATTTCCTAGCTTGTTAAAGTAAAAGTAGCAACACAATAGAGAGAAAGACGTTACACGTGAAACTCCATATAAAACAAACTATTATTTGCTTTATGTAATTTATATACATTTCCTATATTCTTATTTCTTTTGAATTCAGTAATACAAACAGTAAATATCACAGCACTGCTAGACTAATAATAAAAATAACAGCACATTAATGATAGCTCCTACAAGTCAAATTATGTGTTATATCATTGCGTAGTTTGCTTGTATAAACAAAGCTTTGTTCAGCCACTGCTGAACAGAAAGTAGCCTAAAGCACAAACTGGTTTCAGGACTGAGGTTGTGTTGAATTGCTTTATTGCAATAGTTATTTACATTATCATCACTGTCATTTAATTATCAGTTATTCTATGAACAGTCCAAAACTCAAAGATATTCAGTTTAATGTAAGACAGAAGAGCAGCAGGCTGCCACATTTATGGTGGAACCATAAATTGTTTGGTTTTTAAAAACATTTATTTGTTCAATTATCAGAATAGCAGTAGATTCATTTCCCATCAATTGATGGATTGATTTAATCGTCTAGTCATTGCAGCTTCAAACTTCCTTGTGTCATAGGTGTGGAAGTCTGTTTCTATTGGCTACTCCTCCTAGCCCCCCCGCTTTTGTCTTATAATTTGTACATTTGGGTGATGTTCAATTGACAACTGGATCAGTTTGGTCTTATCAGAGAGAGAATTTTTTCACTGTTTGGAATCTGAGACAAGTTAGTAGTATCACATTTCTACTTTAAGTTTGTTGTAGAGACAAGATAGAGTTGATCTTTCTTACACTTAAAATCAGTTTTCTTGATGTAATATCTACCGAACTGGACATTTTTGTTTGTAGTGCATGGATTTTTTTTTTTTTTACATAGCGTATTGTCAACTCATATATATGTAGTTTCAGTGTATTTTATGTGATGATGCGTTTACCACAAACAAAAACTAGGAAGTTAATTTGCAAATGGAGAACTGTCATAGCCCAGTGAGATTATTCAGATAAGAACTGCATGTTTGATCATTTTTGCTTTTATCATGTTTTAATTTTGCACTGCAGATTTGGGACTTTATTATTATTGTAAGCATAAATCAAACTTGGCTCAGTGGCTTAACAACATTGTAGTTGGGTGGTCTTATGTTTCTATTATAGGTTGGTGAATTCGAATGCAGGCTTCTTGAAAATAGGACAGTAGACGTGGACTGTTGCTTTTGAAACTGCCTGAGACATGGTACAAGAGGTTTAATAGAAAAGACTTGTGTTTCTGTCTTCTTTCTGTGTGTAGTCAAAGGGTCAGACTTGTTCCATGGTCCAGATGCTGGCTCTGTCCAGATGTTCAACAGCTTTGAGGTGGACATGTTGCCCGTGGTGCTCTGCCCTCTCTCTGTGCAGCTCTGCTATGAACAGCCAGCCCTCCACCACAGCCAGGCCCCAGTTTCTAAGAACCCAGACTGCTCTGTTTCACCAAAGTAAAGCCAAATCCAGTCCTGACCCAAGCAAGCCTGATTCAGGCAAGGACAGCTAGGCTAGTTGTGACCTCTGCTGCTTTTCATCCACTTTGTACTGGAATTACTCCAGACCTTCGTGAAAATGAAATGTGTTGTGAAAGTAGACGAAATAATAATGGTTTTATCTTTCAAGTGCTCTAAAATATTTTGATATGCATTATGAACAAAGGTTGTAATTTAAGATTGAACATGTTCCTAAGAAATCAGTACATTGTAAATAATTAGTCAGTTGTTAATTATAATTTTAATTGATCAATTGACAGAAAATTCTCTATTAACAACTCTTCTGATAATCTGTTAATTTCTGAAGCAAAAATGGCAGCAATGATTTTGTTAGCTTTCTCTGACAATAAAATGACTGCTTATGTAATTGTTGGACAAGAAAGACATCTGGAGATGTCACCTCGGGGTGTGGGATCATTTTCACTATCCTTTAATATTTTGTAGGTCAAACAGTTAATCATGAAAATGATCGGCAGATGAGTGAATGATGATGCATGATACACTGTCTGGCTGTTTCAGAGCTGTACACAAAAATCGCAAGCGTGGTTATCTTATCATGTTGGCTATTATCACCGAGCTAGCGAGGTTTAGATTAGAGTTGAGAAGAGGCCACACTGACAAACTAACGTAGCTCTATGCTTAAACACAAAAGGGTACAAGTTGGGTCTTGTTGGCGTCAAGGAGATTTCACTTCTCTTTTTTATCAGAGATAAGACTCAAAGAGAACATGCTTTGCGGTGAAGCATTCAGCGAGTCTGCACATCTAAGGACCCAGCTCCAGTGTGAAAGAAAACAGCAAAACTAGCCTATATTGTCATTTGTGGTATAACTTTGCTAAGCTCTGTGACACATTTTTCCTTTTTGTGCTACAGTGTTGTCCTCCGGGTCCAGACTCGAGGGGGAGCTGCTTGAGATGGTGGTGTGGTCTCTGGGACTGGGTGCAGTAGGTGCTGCGCTGGCTGGGATCTTTTTGGCCAACACTAACCTGTGTCTGCCCAAAGTTGCCAAGGCATCGCTGCAGTACCTCGAAGACGCTGACCTGTGCTCCACTGTAGATAGTGGTCGGTTGGCTCTCTGAAAGGCTGTTTAATAATGTCACACACCCAATATGCTCAATAAGTATATTCAGCATGTAGATGTTGCATATGACCATGAACATTTGCTTTTTCTCCATTTGAAGGCTGCGTCTTTTATCTTCCAAACTGATTTTATTGAATTCTCATAGCTTGTTTTAGAAACATGTTCTTGTTCTGTCTGCAGATGATAAGGTCATCAAAGCAAAGAGCCTGTGGGAGAAGACTGGGGCCGTGGTCATGGCCGTTCGACGACCTGGATGATTTTTGTGCAGAGAGGTGATAATCGTTTCTGAATGTAAAGAGTAGGGGCTGTTCAATTCTCCAAGCGTACGTGAGTTACATTTTCCCCCTCTGTAGGAGGCCTCTGAGCTGTCCTCTCTAAAGCCCCAGCTGGAAGAGCTCGGGGTCCCTCTGGTTGCTGTGGTGAAGGAGGACGTTGGCGCCGAGATCAGGGACTTCAGACCGCACTTTGCTGGGGACATCTATGTAGACAAAAAGGTTAGCAGTGGCAGATGATAGGTACTCACCCACATCTCAGTCAGTGTAAACCACACTGCAGTTCAAACAGTCCAGCTGTTTTAAAGGGCAGCACATCAGCAACCCACACTTACAATGACAACCTTTTTTTTCTCAATCATTGTTGAATTTGGTCTATAAAATATAAAACACCTTTTCCTATATTGAATTAGATTTTAAGTGACCCTTCTACATTACTATATTAATGACAGTTGGCAAATGAGGTGATGAAGCACTTTTAGCTGTTGAAGCATCAGTAAAATGAAGCTGTTGTGTGACAGAATATCATAATGTTGCTCAAAGATATTCAGGTAAACCTTTCCTGCGTGTGACATTGTTTGTGATTGCAGAAACATTTCTACGGCCCGCTGCAGAGGAGGATGGGGGCTCTGGGGCTCATCCGCCTCGGGGTGTGGCAGAACTTCATACGGGCCTGGAGGTCTGGTTACCAGGGCAACTTGAACGGCGAGGGCTTCATCCTCGGGGGAGTGTTTGTCATTGGACCAGGAGACCAGGTAGAGCAGCACACACTTGTATTAAAGTACGATTTACCTCAGTATAGCTTTACAAAGCACATCTGCATTTTTTAACTGCATGTTGTGCTATGCAGGGGATTCTCCTGGAACACCGTGAGAAGGAGTTTGGTGATAAGGTGAACACTGCAGATGTTTTAGAGGCTGTCAAGAAAATATTGCCAGGAAAATAAGTTCTTTTGGCATAAGAGCAGGTGTGCACTGTGTTTACTCTGAAAGTAGAAATAAGAGATCATTAACATTTTTAACTTGGCTGTTGCAATCATAGTTTGTCTATTACTGAAATACTGATGCTATAATTGTCTAATATAACATATACTAATGTCTTTTGCACATTAATTTATTTCTAGTTACAAAAATCAATCTGTGAAATGCAACACAGCCAATATTACTGCGTTTGTCATCAATTATTCTTCTTTATCGCTGCAGGCACTTGGGAGCTAATCTTTCATTATACGGGTATTGTAAGACTTAAAGACAGGTTGTTGTTTTTTTCATCAGGTACATCAAAAATGTAAGGTCACTGGGAACTTGCCCTTTAGAGAAGCATGTAATCCAATCTAAGTTATGATTTATAATTCTATTATCATCTGTCAGTGGTACATCTTTAATAATGTTCCTGTGTGTTAATTAGCTTCTCCTGGTCAGGCGTGTAAACAGGCCTCCAACATGGCAGACGAGTGTGTGATAATGAAAACCTTACTCTAAACTCAGCATCGAGATGAGCAGGTTTGAGGCTTAAACACAGATTCAGTTGCCATGTGGAGGAGTGTTTATAGTGCCTGAAGAAGGTGTTGCTTGCATGTGTGTATAGTTGAGTGAGAGAGCTTATGTGTACCTGGGTATGTGAATACTAGCTGATGAAAATGATCAATAATAAAGAATTCTTCACCATCTCTTCATTGGACAATGGTGCTTTTCATTTTATTGAATGTGCTTCATGGAGCAACGCTTGGCCATAGTAGCAGATGTGTTGGATTCTCAGAGTCGCAAAATAGCTGATATTTGGTGCACATCTTTGTATTTATAGCAAACAAACCTAAAATCAAAAAATTGCAGTACTGCATGTTCCTTTTGTACTTCTTGATTTTCACTCGCTGGCAGATGTAGATTCATTTTAAGTAAGATTATTATGACACAGACACTTGTTTGCTCTTCTAAATTAATTTGCTCCTTTGTAGAATCTTAGCCATTCTTATGCATTTATTTCAGTGGACAAACCGTTTTTCAGATGATAATGATTTTGATGAATGAGAACTAAGATTATCCTTCTTAAAATTACAGGCTGCAATAGTGCACCATCCCATTTCTCATCGTTAAATAGTCCCAACATCTTGCTCATTAAATCCTCTGTACTTTCCAATGACACACCTGTATTCTAAATATATTTTTCTTGTAAATAAATGACCATTATTCAAACTAGTTTTTTTTTTTTTTTACAGCTACAGAAATGGACTATTTATATATTACGGTGAAAAATGAAAGTCTCATTGTCTGTTGAAAGCTCTCCTTGCTGCATTTAGCACTGTGTGTGTGGCCAAAACATGCCATGTAACCCAGTCAGGTGACACTGTCAATTTAATCTTCATTTTATCTGGTTTAAGTTCCTGTGGTTGTTACACAAATGAACTGTATCATATTGCCTATAAATAGTTGTGTATTAAAGTTCCTTTCCTCAAAAACAGGAGGGCAATAATTTAAAAAAAATGTATCACCACATTAAACAGCAGGGTTTGACATCGTTATACGTTTTATTCTAGTGCTCTGAGTAAAGTACATTTCAGGTCAAAGAAATATATTTCAACAATATAAAATATAGGGAGAAAACACTGTGCACCAACAACTGAGAGAACTACATGTATACAAGTTGTATGTACATGAAATAACCCAAACATTCAAGGAGTGTAACATTAAGATTGTTTTTCACATTTGCCTTCAATATGCAAAGATCTAACGTTTTCATGCTCAAAAGTTATAAATTACAATTGAAATGTCAAAATCAGTCAAAAATATGACCTTTGACTCGACTCAAATCTGTTGTGACTTATTTCTATCTTGAGTGACGATGGTTTGTGATGTTTTTGAAAGTGTTGGTATTGCACAGACAAAGCTGAAGATATTGTCTGAAAACAAACTAGGTCCGTACGATAAAGCTGAAACCTCCTCTCCTCAGTCAGTTCAATGTACAATTCACACCCATCTCATCTTTGGCTGGATGTATCGCTGTGACATGTTACGGTGGTACAGCCCTGTCACAAGCTGATCCACATGTTTAAAATCTCACTAAAAGCCTCCGGTTTTGTTCTTGATACTTTTGTGCTATACCCAAAGAGCAGAAAATCATGAAAGTACAAAGCAGAAACTGAGCCACTCAGTTATCAGTAATGAAAGCGACAATAAATAAATTCCCAATTAGCAGCAACATTATGCAAATCAGCTCCATACAGAACAAATTTTACAAATACTTTTACAAGCTCCTTTTAAATAGCAACACAAATCCGAGGAGCTCCTACAGCAGCACAGCAAAGCTCATGTATTACAGTTTGACCCTCATCAGGAACACACTCCAAATACAGCACAATAACTACCATCAAAAAAGTCATCAGGACGTACCTAAGGAAGTGCTGCTGAAACACGGTCGTGCAGTGTGATCATGTGTCACTGTTAACAGGAGGAGGCAGCACTGCTGACTGCCGACATGGCTGATACACAAAGTCTGTTGCTCAGGGGGTTAAAGATTTCTATGACAATATGAAAAACAATGGTGAGTTTAAATAAGTTGTATTCCAGAATAAGATATCAGTTATTTTAAATTAATACAAAGACATCCACATCTTTATACAGTAGCGGGGGGAGTCTTCAATATCCAGACACTTTTAGCTCGTATGTGTTTTTAAAATGTGATAAAATGATCTGAATAGCACGTTGGAATGAAACCACATAAGCACAGTCATCGTGCACAGAAGTTCAGTTTGTTTAAGGCCCATAATAACCACAAACAGTTTACTCGAATGATCTTACAACTTCAAACTTCAGAAACACCGAAGCACAGGTGCTGTATGGAGTTCAATTTAAGTATGAACATGGTCGGTACAATCTTACAGTTAGATACAGTTTTCTGTCTTTGTACATGAAACATCACCTCACACTAACTCCTCTAATATGTGACCTCATTAGCCCTAAAGCAACAGGAGCACTTACTCATTTGCAATACATTACACTCCTGTGCTCCTGTGACATGAGCTGCTGATGTTTTTAGTGTATACTGTACCTTGAAGAAGAAATCTCTAAAATCCCCCATGCATAAGTGCTCCATTCTTACATAATCCAGACAGCTAATATTTCTCACGTACACCATCGGCACTATCGCTGAATAGTTTGGACAGCATCATCAACAATATGAATGAATTTGATCAGAGAATATCAAACTTCAAGCGAAGCAACGCCAAAGACTATCTAAACTTGGATATAAACATTTAGTATTTTGTCTCTGCCACAGAACATTTGTTAGTTCCATTTGGTGCAACGGGGCATCAACAGTGCAAAAGACAGTTCTGCAGATGGCTAGCTAGTTGTTGCATGTAAAAACCCTGACAACTAAGCTGCTTTCACATCTTTCAGTCTGCTTGTGCAACATTAAAACCAACAAAAGTAACAACAACAACTCCTTAGAAATCCAGTACAATGGCCTGATTTGGAGATAAAATTTCAGTTCAGATCACAGGATATTGTCTTAGGATCAACACAGACACACCACAGGACGTTCCTCTCCAACTGACACAGCCACCAAACAAGCACCATCACTGACATCAAAACGTCTACAGATAGCAACTGCAATACTTCATAAAGTGATCTCAAAAATAGCCTTGAAACAGAGGCTGCCGCTGCCATGGCAACAGTACACATTTATGCTGACAAAGGCAGGTATTGGTAACTTGTGCACTCTCAAGCTGCACTTTGTCAGATTTTGCAGTATAATTTTTACATAGTTTCTTTTCCACTTGTACCCTAGCACCTCACTACCTGGTCCATGAACATGAAGGGACATAAGTACACTTAAAAGAGAGAGTAGGAGCTGCACTGGATGGCAAGGAGGCAGAATACAACACAAGCGGAGCTTATTCATCAAAGGTTAATTAACATCCTGGTTCCTCCAGTTTAACTACATGTTGGAATTAAAATGGGGAAATTTATTGGTGGCAAGAATTTTAACATAACATTATCACTTTTTAAAATGGAATAATATGACCATGACCAGGAAAGAAGACAAGGAAAAACTGTTACATTCAGAAACAGTTATATACACAACTTGAAAGGTTGAGCGTTCATTTTAAACTGGAGTTAAATAATTTGTCAGCCGAGTTAAAACTTGCATGAACCTGAATGCAACATGAACATCAACATGAAATATTGGCGGGTTAAACGCAAGTCAGTTTTGAGTGAAGGAAGAAGGAACACACCAATGGAATCGGCTTTTCTTCTCTAAGCAGTGCTACAGAGAGAACTGTCAGTGACCTTCCTTCTCAATGTTTTGTTTTCTCTTCAATGAATCCTGTTTTTCAAATTGTTATTAAAAAAAAAACAAACAAACGCAGAAGTACACACTACAAAAAAATTGCATAAATAAAATTGCTTTTTTTGCCCTCCTACTTGTGCCTACAGGACAACAGACGTGCATATATACACAAGTGTCTGCATGTCTTATGTGTGCGCATGGTGTTATGTTGGCTGATCCTACAGACCCTTGTTGAAGTAGACTGTAGTGGTATGAGGACTGGTCTGTCGTATCCGCTCCTGCAGATCTGCCTCCAGCCCGCTTACACTCATAGAGCTATGAAGGGATGGTTCAACATGATTAATAGGAAGCTACTGGTTAGTTGATGTTAACAGGTGTGACTCAGCCCTTCTAAAAAAAAAAGTGAGATGTTAAAGTGGCTGTTTGTACCTTTTCTGTGGGAAGAGGGCGCAGCACAGGGGAGTTGCAAATACCAGGCTGAAAACAAGAGGCAGAGACGGATGTTTTAGACATTGTTACTAGTTCATTTTGCAGAACACATACTTGTGAGTCCATGCAAAATCACCACAGATTACTATTGAAATTTACTTACCACAGACCAACGAGCCCCACTTGGACAGGAGCATTTAGAATTGGGAATCGCTACAAGGAGACAAAATCAGAGAGGGCAAAAGTGCAGTGAAATCAGGCACCAAAATAAATAAATAAATAAATAAAATCACAAATTTGACTCGTTTCTCCAGATGAACTGTCCACAGACATAAGCATTCAGTGTGTATAACATGGAGCGTGGCTCAACTTGTTTCAGCCACACAAAACACCAGCTGCAAAATTAAGCAACAACAGCATGACAGTCTGCTTACCTTCATGAAAGCCCTCTTCTCTAGAGCATTCATTATAACAGGGGGAATGGCTGCAAAAAAAAAAAAAGGTCTGATATTACTGATCCAGAAGTTATGGAGCAGAGTTAGCTTTCATTTGAGGTTGTTTCTGGCCACTTTGTTAAAGGCCAATACTTTTTTAATCTCTATTTTTGATCTCCTCTAACTCGCTGAGAGCAGCTCAATTCTCCAGCAGGTTCATCAGCTACTTGCTAAATGTGTCTGTCTGCTTATTTCAAGAGTTGGGTTTTTATTACGCTATGAAAGCAATGACAAAAAATCAAAACAGTAAGGCAATAAGTAAGATGAAACCCACCATAATCCCCCTTCACACTGTTAGAAAAATACTACTTATAGCTGCTTTAACGAACCAGCAGATACTGTATAATGTTGACATTACCCATTGCTGGCACTGCCATGCCGATCCTTGACACCACCACCTGCACAATGGCCTGCTTGGCAGCACTGGCTGACTCTCCTAACCTGTTTCCGTTCTCATCTGTCACAGGGATACCGTACTTCAACTCTCTGGAACAAAGAAAAACAAACATCAAGAAAAGCAGTCATAGCAACCATCTAAGTTCTTGAGTCAACAAAACAGAGGTCATTGGCTTTTATTTTAGAGATCTCACCTCTGTCTCATGAAGGGAATGTTGATACAGTTAGCAGCAGCAACAGCAGCAAAGGGCACAAAACGGCTGACGATTGGAGGGAGCCGCTGCAAAGTTGGGACAGATACATATGTAGATAAGGAGTCTGTATCAAAGTTACTTTGTTGATTCACTAGAAGGACATGCATTACCATAGCTAGAGACTTGAGTCCCAGGGCAGTGACTACAGCTCCAGTAGTAGCACTCACATAGGCTGCACCAAGCTGACTGCGAGGACACAGATGCATTAGATATGTCACACATTAAAGACCCAGCTCGTCCTTCAGTGTTTTCAGACATTATAAATAGCTGCTTTATGCTACAGCGCATGAAGGCTGCGGCTGATAATCTATCAGGACACACTGAAGTGAAATATTTCAGAGAAGAGTTGCTTCAGTAATAGTATGAAATCATGCCATGTATGAAAATGCAAAGATAAAAAACCAAAACCATCTTCACAATTCATGATAAAGAGGAAGACATTTATCCTCAATGACATGCTTAATCAGTAAAACAGCATTTGCATGTTCTGAAGGCAACCCTCCTGTTCCTCAAAAATGCATGCTTCTGATACACTTCTGCAGCATCTGAAGGATGCATCTGTGGCAGAATTAAGAGAGACTGCAAATGCTTGTTGATCTCTAATCAACCAGGAACACTGAACCTATGTCAGCCTGAGTGCATGGTGACACGGAGCTGAACATGCTTAACAGTGGAACATAATACCGCTGCGAGGGAACAGGAGAGGATAGCAGCTCCCACCAACAGGCTCCTTACAGACACTAGCTTAGAGGGAGGACAGGAATGATCTAGAGTGGAAGTGAAGTGAGAAGCCCTCCATACTTCACGGTGATGGGAGCATCTCCGCTGCGGTTGGTGTAGTTGACGATAGCGTTGAAAGACTGGTTAACCCACTGCCAGAACACCACTGCTGGAGTAGTCCTACAACCACGAGAAAACAGTGTGTTTCAGGATGTGCAATTTCAAATGGTGCAGGTTAAAAGCTACAATTTTGGCACCATTAATAATAAGTAGTTCTACTAAAGATGTGTTAGAAGTGCATGCAATAATAATGGTGGTACAGATATTATGTGATATTAAAAAAAGGATGGGACATTTATTATATTAAGCATACTGCAATTATCCTCAATCATTACTTCTTTTACATGTGTTGAACACCAACTACTACCACTACCAATTATTTCTAGTTTAATTAAGCCCCGTATGCATAAGATAAAGATCCAGACATCCATTTGTAGAGTGGAGTGCAGACAACCACAAAAACATGTGGTTAGAGATGTTCTTTGCTGTTTTCTACTACTGTGAAATGTGAAACATCCTGTTTGGTTATGGCTGACAAATTGTGTCAAGTCAAAATGATTCCTGATAGTCTTGGTACTGTACGTCTCTGAATCCCAGGCTTCACATTCTGTACAGCATACGACACCTGTTACCCTTATGCTTATGACCTTGTTGCTATTAAAAAGACAAGCATACTGGATAATTTACTCTCTCCTTTGATCTTTTGAAATTGTATATTTTATTTTATTTTGCTATTGAAACCACTACCATTTGAAAGCTTGAGTTTGGCACCCCCAAGTGGTTGTATGCAGAAATGACATTTGTGCATCAGCAGTGCATGTCTGATCACTATCCAGAATCTCTGAAATAATAAAATTGTAACTGTGTAAAATATGGAGGCCAAAAGTGTCTAATATTAAATAAATAAATAAAATATGATTAAACAGTCATATATCATAACTAATAACAAACTATATGACATTTAAAATGCAAAATAATCCAGTTAGTTTTTGTGCCATGTTATTTGATCCTGCTTATTTTTGTAATAACAGGGTTTACTGCGTGCCATTTCTCATTTAAGTCCAGCAGTTATTTGAAAATGCCTTTCTTTCCAAAGCCTGTAGTACTCATTTTTATTCAATGTTGTAAAAATGTTTATTTCATTACACTTTTATTTATTTGACCCTCATTACTTTTTAAAATCTGTGACCAGATAATTTTCACTTGATAAATATCTAACTATTACATCAGTTGGAACTTTCTGTTACTAATCAAATTGTTGGTTCCATGGCATCAGTATTCAGTAGCAAGAGGGACAATTGTTATTCTTTAAGAGGATTTTCACTCTGTGCAGGGATTAAAATCTCTATGTTTATGCAATGCTATATTAAGGTTTGATTTTCTGTGACACATAAAACACTTTTTAGAAAACACCAAAACCGTGTATTGAAACATGTGCTGTACCTGTAGAAGGTGAGCATGCAGCCTGTGATGGACATATTCATTGGCACCTGAGCAGACATCCGGCCAATCACAAGCATCTTCTCCCCCGTGTCAGGATGGAAAGCAGAGTCATAGATGTACTTGGCTCTCCAGAGCTCATCCTCTGTTAGACCAGGCTTCACGATCCCAGCTCTGAAAAAGCCAAAACAGTAAAGTGATTATTTCAAGCATTTTACAACACAGGACATACTGAAACACTTTTATACCTCCTTCCTAACACAAATTTACAACATTAAAATGTATACACATAGCCTTAAGTACAAAGCCTATCAAAATTCCCCAGTGTTGTAGAGGAAAACCGTATTACATTGATTTTTTAGATGCTGTTTCATTAAGTTTCCTTAATAAACATCTGCATCTCCTGTTCAGTGTAAACAGTACACCTACCCACATCATTATCTGGTCACACTTTAATGCTCATTTCTATTCATGCCTCACAACACCTCCTTGCATAATTTATACTCTCACTCCATCCTCTGACCCTCATACCTGTAGTCTTCCACGATCACTTTGGCCTCATCCAGAGTCTCAGAGGACAGCAGGACATTCCTGGGATCGGTGACCATGAAGAAGTGCCTGGCACGCCCCATGAACGTGCCTTGGTCCCATCGTGGCTCCTTAATGTTTATGTTGCGGGACAGTTCTCCAGACATCCTTTGACCCTACAGGTGACATTATTGTAATTCATCAAACTCGATTACACACCTCTGCTCCATTAATAGCTGTGCTGCAGTACATAACTGCATTGAAACAAAGTCCCTCCACCCATCACTGAATAGCACACAACAAAAACAACTACACACAGTTACCTCTGAGCAAATAACACCAAACAGACTAGCTGTCCAGGTTTACTTTCCTACAGCAAGTTTTACCTCTCAGTTCTTTCTGAAAACACAGATTGATAAAGTGTTTTCCTGTGTTAACAATTTCTCCTGCTGTGTCAAATTCAAAAATTATTATTTTATTGTCTTGTCAGACTGTAGGCTCTCTAGAAACATGTGCCAGAAGGCTGATCTCAACCAAGAGAAAAAGAACATTTATGCTGAAAAACAATCTCAGCTTGAAATACAGGGCAGTGCTTAGTGGTGTTTTTATTTATGAAATATACACAAAAAACCCAAATAGTTAAATTTCACATAAGTCAACAAAAAGCACTAAACTAAAATATTTTTACTTCAAAATGACTTAAACAGGTCGTTTCAGTAAGTACACACTAAACTATTACACGAATTTATGCCGCAGACATACAGTACTAGGACAGTCCTTCCGTAGCTCAGTCCGCAACAGGAAGACGGTAACCACCGCCTGCAAATGAATGGAGAAAATACCTCCGGGACGTAACTTCCTGTAAAAGGGCGAGTTAGAAGTTGAAACGTTGAATTCAAGCACACCAACGTCCACTATATTGCTAAACGCAGAAACAGGTTAAGAACCTGCCCGAATAAGTAACTAGCCAACCACATAAATTGCATGTGTAACGTTAGATGATGAACGAAATAGCGTGACAAACACAAAACGACAGATGGGACTGAAGAAGTCACGACACGCCGCCCAGCCGGTATTGTGGGGTTTGCCCCGTTGAGATGAGTTTCTCCCCTTTAAATGAACGTTTCTTGTCGCGTTCCCCGTAGGTAATAAAGTTAGATTCAGGTTAAGATATAAGAGGGAATATCTCGACAGGGGAACAGACTTCGACACAACACCGGCTAACGAATGTAGCCAACAAGCTAGCATATAAGCTAATAATATCACTGAAACTGACAACGAAGTACAGAAATGTTCAACCAGGACGTCAGACCTACATTAACTTCCCACGACATCAAATCTGAAGTTAGGCACAGCAGAAACAGTTTCTTCAAACCATCAAAACAAACCACATCAGTGCTGTCTTGGACAAGTCACTCAGCTAGCCAGGTAGTCTATAAGCTAACTACTATGGTGGTTAGCACTTAGGTGGCTAGCACTTAAGTTAACATTATATTATAAGCTAACTACTATGGTGGCTAGCACTTAAGTTAACATTATACAGGCACATATCTTGGCAACGTACTGGTTAACATATTTGGAATGTGATTTAAACTGTTTACAGATTTGAATTCAATCAACGCAGAAACTCACCAGGGTTGTTTTTGAAATTGTATGACCTCTCAATATCACAGCACAGCACAGCACCGCACCACCGGGTGGACTTACGCTGCCTTAACGTACTCTTCAAGAATCGTACAACACAGTTTCACCATGAAAGCACCACAGTGAGTTGCTGTAACATCTAACTGGGTCTATTGATGTTTTGTATCCCTAAGTATTTCTCTCAGCTTGTCTAGAAAATGTAATTTAAATGTCTTTAATACGATAAAACTCTTGAAAAATTAACAAACTTTACATTACAAGTTTAAGCATGCCACTAGCCTAAATAGCCTAACATTAATAGCCTGTATTGCTTACTTTGTTTGCAAGCCTCCAATTGGAACATGAATAATTTATTTTTTAATAATTTTTACTTAGGTTTTACTGTTGTATTTAATAATTGTAAGTATGCCTAGGTTAATTTGCATTCCTTCAGGTTAATAAATATAATGCACATATACACCACTGTATCACTGCAACGGAATAACTAAAATACTCAAGTACTGTACTAGATGTAGCTTTCTCTACTTTTCCACTACTGGAAGAAATCAGTAAAAAGTTTTCCATGAAAGTCATGGAAATTGTTCTGCAAAACATCATATGTGGACTCTGTAGAATTTTATTAATTTATTTATTTGCCTATTTAATTTTACATATGTTTTTTAATGATCAGTTTTGTCATTTTTTTATTATATTTACAGTAGGTCTAATTATTTAGAAAATAATTATATAGACTTATGTGGAATTATATGAACTTTAAGTCTGTGATTTCTTATTGTTGTACATTAATTTTATTGATAATGTAAAGATTATGTTAAACTGAAACAGCTTTTATAAGAGTGAGGACTTGAAAATGAGATAAATGTAAACTGTGATCATTTTGGAGTAAAATAGTCGCATTCGTAACAATCTTTAGGCTACATTAATCGACAAATAAAAGATGTAGGCTAACCTATGGAGGCTCGTAAAATCCACGTTCAAGGTCACTGTTTACTGTTCCTGTTTTGTTACTCTATAGTGGGATTCATGAAGATTTCCATGGATTGTGATAGACAACCACTGGCCACTTGGTGGGGTTGTTTACTCATGGTGAACGTAGAAAGAACCACAGTTCAGTTTTCGACCTCTCTGCAGTTTTACTGAAAACATAGATTGAATTAACACATTTATTCAAACTTTACCTGAGGACAAGCGGCAGTAGACGAAAGGTAGTGTTACTGTGTTGTGCAATTATATAACAAATGGCTGCGCAGCTGCAAAGAGCTTTATGTGAAAGTCTTATAAGACAGTCGCCTGGAGTGGCGGTGATACTCGACTCCGGAGGTGTCCAGTAATGCCAGAGTGATGCGTCCGAGCTCAACCAGCACAACAAGGACAAGCTAGGTAACGCTGTCATTCTTTGTCCACTTTAGTTTGAAGTGTCATGAGGGTGCAGTTGTTTCATCGCCGTTTTGTAACCTTTCACGGTTCACAGTATCGACGGGAATACGTTTAGACAGTGTTTCTGAAGCGAACATCGTTAAAGCTTATGATACCCCTGGCAGATATTGTTGAGCAGCGTAACTACTGTATGTCATTAAGTAGTTTAGTTAGTTAACGTGAATGAACGCGTGATGACAGGTCACTTGTTTATATACTGTAGGATACTGTCCCTTAGTCGCTGTCCATGGTGCTGAGTGAAGTTCAATGAGAGTAGGACAAGGTTACGCCTGGAAAAATATAGATTTTGACACCATTGTCTATTAAGGCACCATTTATTAAAAAAAGTTTTCAGGCTATAATTAATGCATCTATTATTCATGATTATTCCTTTACTAATGTCTTATTGATCACTTTAGCATGAAGAGCTTTTGGGTTGCGATATCTTTGATTCATTAGGGAGACCCCTCCTCTGGATGGTTTGGCTGCTGGACATCTGGACCAAAACTACAGACTTGATGGACTTTAGAACCCGTGATATTACTGTATAGAATCACAAAGTGATGTAATTATGAAGGCATTTTATGTAAACGAGGCACACTGATGCAATAAAGTGTACTGAAACAACAGAACGGGAACATTTTAACTTAAAATTGAAACAAAAGCAGCCATCAACATTTCATATATACTATATTGTTGTCCCTACATTTGTAATATTTTAGGTTTTGCACATATAACAGCTAACCAATCTCTGTAAGTTGATAAATGGTTATTCTATATAAAAAGGTATGCATTTGTAAATATTAATGAATTGTTTATAATTACATTTTGGTCTGGAAGTCCTGCAGCACTTTTGCAAAGGATAGGTGTTCAAACAGTCTACTGAAGAGCTAGAAAGAAAAGAGGAAGATGTTCCACATCCTGGCAACCAAGAAGTTGTTATAGGATTATACCTGATCTATAAAGCATTAGTAGATGTTTATTACCATTAATACAACCAATAATTATATCTTTAAAACCTGCCATAAATAGTGCCTTATCAGAAAGGAAGGGGTTTTTTATTATACCACTTGGAACGTCAGAGCCCTCAGTACTCATCGCAGCATGCACTTCTGACAACAGATATCAACTTAATTAAACATGACCCATGGGGAATCACCATGCACTGCTGGTGCAGACTCTCAGCTGAAGCAGATGGAAGCAGCCAAGCACCTGGTCATCATGGAGATGGATTCAGAAGCTGCAAAGGAATCTAGTGGATTATATTACTCTCTTTAACCTAAAAATAAATTACATTCTGGGGTACCAAACTGAAAAGTTCAGAGCTTACTGTTCACTAATGGAGCACTGTTTTGTCATTCTTTAAAAATGAGTTTACAGTTTATTCAGTCTACTGTGTGGGTTCAGCTTCACTTTGACCTTTTCTGAGTCACTTTTTTTTTTTTTTTTTTACTTAAGATCTTAGATTATCCTTTAAAGCATTATTTACAATTTCAAACTGGCTTCAGTGAAGATCAGGGACATCACCTACATCTTTGAAAGTTGCCTGCTCCAATGGGGACCAGCTACTATATTTCATCATCCACTTTGGACCAGCAGGTGCAAAAAAGCCCAGTTCCCCACCACACTTGTCCCCCACCTCCTTTCCCTGAATCCCAAGCTGCGCCTCTTCCATCCTAGCAGCAGGCCCCTGATATCCTCCTGTCTGGATGACTAAGGCAAGAATTTCCAGATACATATCATGGCTCACTCCTCTCACCCCTTTGGCTGGAGTGAGATGACAAATGGAGGGGAGCGCCTCCACTTCAATCATGGAGGCCAGACTGGAGGTTCCCAGAGCAGCATGCGCTACATGCTGAAGAAACAGCACTGTCACAGATGCAGGTCCTCCTCACCAATGGGCAGGGTCATTCTTATCAACGCTCCTGTTGATGGTGAGATCTGAATGTGGAAACAGTCCTCTGTTCTGCCTAGTTAGTACTTTTACTTTTGATACTCCAAGTATATTTTGTTAATACAATTTTGTAATTTTATTAAAGTTAAATCTCGTATATAGAAGTTTGGTATTTAGTATGTTTACATTGGATTATTACTAGTGCTTCTTTCACCACCAACTGTATGAATGAATGAATACGGCATGCCAGTGACTCATGGTCTATCTTTGTAAACAAGAAACCCTTTATGGTGGGTACATGTCAGTGAGTTTTGTGTGTTTTCAGGAGGGGATGACAGTGAAGACATTCACACAGTGACAGTAGATAAGAGTCCAGATGGGCGTCTGGGTTTCAGTGTCCGTGGAGGCTCTGAACATGGACTGGGCATATTTGTCAGCAAGGTGGAAGATGACAGCTCTGCAGGTAAGGAGGATGTGTGCATGTGTGTTGCTCATGGTGATGGCAATTTTTATTTTTTTTAGCATTATTTCATGTCTTCTGTCTACATGTGACACGCTCCACCCGTGTTTGCAGCGCAGGCTGGGCTGAACGTGGGCGACAAGCTGGTGGAGGTGAATGGGGTCAGCCTGGAGAGCATCACCATGAGCAGCGCTGTGAAGGTCCTGACAGGCAACAACAGGCTGAGGATGGTGGTGAGACGGGTGGGCAAGATCCCTGGCATCCGCTACTCCAAGGAGAAGACCACTTGGTGAGGCTGAACAATTCAGAAGTGCTGCTAAAAATGTTATCCTACATCCAGTTTACAATAAAATATCTACCCTACAAAATTCATTTCACAGCTTTGCTGGTTAAATTATAGTAAAGTAGGTCACTGTACTGACCTTTGTATGGCTCTTATTTTGTATAGGCTTGTCACCTGACTGTGGTTCTCACTGGATTTTTTTCTGTTGGGATATACTGTATCTTGGTTCTATGTGGCAGCAGTCAATGGATTACTGCTATGATCTTTATGGCTATTTGATTTTTCCGTTACTGACATGCCTGAGCTCTGTGGAGAAGGGTAAAGCACCATATGTGAATGTTTTCATGTGTGCATATATGTCCAACTTTGTGTGTGTGTGTGTGTGTGTGTGTGTGTGTGTGTGTGTGTGTGTGTGTGGGGGGGGCATGATTCACCGGCGGATGGTGGTGGAGGAGAGTGGTCGTACACCGTCAGACAGCAATTCAGACACCGCTCTCTGCAGGATTGTACATCTCTTCACTACATCAGATGATTACTGTCTGGGCTTCAACATCAGAGGGGGCAAAGAGTTTGGACTGGGAATTTATGTTTCTAAGTATGAACCAAGTCAGATTTGACACATATTCAGCTCATGCTTTTAAAACACAAGTTGTTAAGAAACGCCTTTGATGGGATTGTAATAACATTTAAGACAACATACACTGATAGTGAGATAGACTAAAAGTTATATCTAAATAAATGTACAGGAAATTAGATAAAGATGTTGGCCCATTCAGTTTACCCATTTATTTAGATGTACTTCTGATTTAATAAACAGCTATAACTCCTCTCTCTCTCTCTCTATCTGTGGGTGTGTGTTTATGTGTCTGTATGTCTTCAGGTTAGATCCGGGTGGACTCGCAGAACAACATGGCATCAAAATGGGTGATCAAATCCTTACAGCCAATGGGGTGAGCTTTGACGATATCACCCACAGCAATGCAGTTGAGGTCCTGAAGAGCCACACCCACGTCATGTTGACCATCAGGGTGAGAGACACTTTCAAAGATAAGCATGAGATCAGATTTAAAGATGCACTATCAAACGTTTTTATATTAATAATGGGTGAAATGATTATCTGTAATGTTGAAAAGAGACAGACATAACCAGCATAATGGAGTATGTAGCCGTTAAAGAGCCAAAAAACTGCATCATTAATCATTACCTCAAGTTTAAACATAACAATTGACTGGGTGTTAAACAGGAGGAGGTGACAGCATGACCCTGCACAACAGACAGACAGCTGGCTTTCAACAGACCACACTTCATGACCTGTGTCATTTTTAGATAAAGAAACTGTGTGCATGAATGAGTTATAGAGTATGTGTGTTGTGCAGCGTGTTTGACGGTGTGTATGCACATTCTCTTAGCTCTCTGACATTGCTGCATGCTCATTTTACTGCTCTGATCTCAGGTTCCACATGTGAAAAATAGCCAGGGACAACGTTCATTATTCAGAGGCAGTCAGGGATCAGGTTTTATCAACAAAAAGCCAAAATGTATGTCCTCCAGAGATGCCAACATGGATATACTGTATCTGTGTCCAACAAGTAGCCAAAACCCACACTATTAAAGATTGTACACTAACAAAATGTACAGTAAATGAAAAATATCAGATCATTCCTAAAGCTTGAGATGCTTGGCTGTTAGTCAAGAAAACCTAGAGATTTTACTTCATAAGCATCAAATGTTTATGCACAATTTGTTGTTTTCTGGTATGATTATTTTTCATATTCTTGCTGAATGTTTCATATATTTGCACAGGAAGCTGGGAGATACCCTGCATATAAGGAGATGGTGGCAGAATATGGCTGGCTTGACAAGCGTAAGTCCAGCTTAAAGCTCAACTGAACAGACCCATATGGATGTGCTTTAAGATTGTGTTTCCAGAATTGGAGACAGGGTTTCAAACTAGATATGTTGTCTCTGTCTAGTAATATTGCATTAGATTCCTCACATATTTTATGGTGGATGCCAATTGTTGCCATCGCATACAAGATAGAGTCCCATGAGTCAGACTGAACTGATTTAAGAATTTTTTTGCCCCTGTAAAACTGTAACAACTGTAAAGCTATAAAACTCTCAGGTGGGCCTCAGGTGTGGTTTTCAGATTGTTACTTAACTGTACTGCAGCCATCTTTTCATAGTGTCTGACATGTTAAATGTTTGTTGTATGTTGTTGTGTTGTTTAGATTGTGTAGAGTAAGACAAAGTTCAGAAGTAAAGTGTATCGTAATCTAATCTAAATATGGAAATAAAGCTTCCTGTGCAAATTTTATTCACCTCCTAATGTCACAGCTTTTTGTTTGTGTTTGTGTGGTGCTCCAATGTGACCACTGGGCAGTTTAATAAGGTGCATCACTTGCAGAGTAATAATTCAAGCACACACTAATCTCCATACTTCACTGTAATCATGGATTGTTTTTTTTTTTTACAGTGGCTAATGGGGGCCCTGCACCATCCTCCCAGGGTTCCGACTGCAACTCCTCTGCCTCCTCGTTGTCCTCTACCACCCCTCTCAGCTCCCTCAGTGGTCTCTCCCAGGTTCTTTTCCCTCCTGTTTTTGCCTCTGAGATGGTAGATATTGCCATCACCACAGAGGACCGTTTCCAATTTGCAAGCAATGCTGAGCAAACTGCTGACACCGCCATACAGACTGACCCCCACCCTCCAAACTACCTGGCCCACTCCGCGCCTAATGGGTTGTTCCTCAATAGACCCATCATTACAGAAACCAGTCGGACCGTAGGCGCCACAGAGCTGCTGAAGGACACAGTCATTCCTGGGAAGGGGGGAAAACTGAGGGAGATGGGAGTAACTGGGGAAGGAGGGCGGGGACGGACGAGGACGCTGTCATCCGGAGAGCAGGAACTAGTGAAATACTCACCTAAGATGGCTGCGCTGATGGACCTGAGCAGGCCACGGAAGCCAATCAGACGTTCCCAGAGCCATGTCACTGTGTCAGGTGAGACCTGCGGGGCTCACTGGGATTGTAAGGAGAGTGAAACTAGGTATAAATTACTTTATAGACTTAAGTGTAATATTAATTTAAGAAGAAAACAATGCTTTTGTATTAGAGGTAGACCAGTATAATCCTGTGTAAGCTGATGGTAATGCCATTTCAGTTTCAAATCCATTTGATCATAAATCTATAATATTGGACATATTTTGGCCTGATGATGATGTTAGATGACCAATCAGAGGATTTTGAGATATTTTAGTATAAAAAGTGGTGGGCCAACTGTCAGCCAGTGTGTCCTAGTTTAGAAACCAGCCATCTCAGTTTAGAAGTCAACCTTTACAGAACCACTGTGAGTGCTGCAGTCACAGTCAGATTCAGTTTTTGGGTCTGATTTTTTGTGACAGTATCTGTAATGTGATTCACTCTCAAACCCTCCAGAGATCTGTCAGTGGAGTATCAGTCAGTTTAATGACCCTTCATTGCTCTATAAATCCAGGAAGTAAACAAGAATATCCAGACTCCACATGGCTGATTTAAGCTCCACACAAGTGCAGGATGTTAACGGAGACTCGTGATAAAGCACTGCCTTTTACTCTCCTGATGTACCTGTGTGAGAGATTAATAAGAACAAGCATATGGGGAAATATCCATCCAGGTTTTTGAGGGGCTGCAGAGTTATTAGCCTTTCTATTTCAATTTATTCAGCTCATTCATACCTCTAGGACCTGGTGAGGGCTGATTGGACATTTGTTATGTAAGCTCCTCTCAATAGATGGAGGTGTGTTCAGGTTGATTTAGCTGCAGTTCATCGGTATTATTGTGTTACTTTCCACAGTGACAGATTTACTGTAGTGAACAGAGGAGCTGGCTGGAAGAGAAATGAATAGTCTATACTCATAGCAGAGGGTGTGCATCACCCACTCTTATTGGCTAACAGTTAAGCATGGAGCAGTAAAAGGCCCAATGTGTTGTGTTTTCAACACTGTACACAGATACTGTATGCAGAATATCCTGTTTTTGCATTAAGCAAAAACTTCTGGCATAACTTCACCAACTGTCAAGGGGCATAGATGAGAAAAAAATAAATCAAAGAGGTCAAAACTTTAAAACACTTGCAGTATGAGGTGGGTTGGGCTATGGTCATGTGGTTATAGGCAATCACAGTCTCATGTTTTGATCAGAGCGAGTTGCCACTGGACACTATTTATCTTCTTTCTTTTCAACTTTAGAGGACAGACAAAAGACAAAAAGGCAACAGAAGGAGAAGAGCTCAGCAGAAGGTAAACCCAGCCTGCAGCGCTCCAAAACCTTTGTCAACCTGTTATTTAAGAAGGACCGTAAAGAGAAGAACCGCTCCAAGTCACCATCCCACCATGCTGATAAAGGTGAGTGTGTGTGTGGTCACAGGATTTTTGTTTTACATTTCCTGGCACATACTGTACAGTATTCTGCAGTTTTTTTTTTTAAACAGAAGTTCTTGTCCTTGCCTGACAAATGTTTCACCACTGCAACAGTATTTGTGGTATCTTATAAGACCTGTGTGAGCTTAGCACTTTCATGTGCATGATCAATGAACTGTACACCTTTTGGAAAGTCATGGTCAGTAGCACATGCATCAGAAATAACATTGCAGCAAATCATTTAGAACAGTCAGTTGAATCTTGAATTAATATCAAAATGAATTAATAAAAAAATCTGCCACCAAGATAAAAAATGTCTGGTTACAAGGTAATTTAATTAGATTTAATAATTGAAATCACTGACCAGTAGTATATAGGTGATGATAAGTTAAAGTAATAAGAAAATCATGTCATCTGCAAATTTTTTAAAGCATTTTGTTTATTCTGGTCTTCACTTTCATTCTTCAGATAAGGAGCAGGGTCGGCCCTTCCAGCTTTTGACTTCCCTGAGGGAATCTCGTGCTGGGGTTAAAGACAGCAGCCGACTGCCGCGACCCGAGACTCTGCAGCATGTGGAGAACATGGCAAAGAAACTGCTCAGTCAGGATGAGGTGGCTGCTGTGATGAGACGCTGTCGGCGTGTGAGTTCCTGACATGAAACCACCAGCTCAGTGGCACTTCCTGTGTGTATGGGTTTTACCTCCCAGTGAATTAAAATTAGCCGGACTCCTTGAAAACTTAAATGTGGAGTATTGTTCCCTGTCTTTTCATAATAGATGTGCCTGGCAGCAGTTGTGACAAAAAAAACTGATTTGGCCTTTCATTTATTATTAGCATCAAATATCAACTATCATCTGGTCCCCTTGTTTTTCTTGGCCCATCTCAGTCTCATCATCCAGTTTCAGGGGATCAGCTCCTTGCCCTTTGCCACCACTGCAGAACACAGTATCACGTCTACTTATAGCAGAGTGTGACTAATCTGTTAATACAGTAATTAAACACCAGTGAAATTAGTGGAGAGGTTCTTGGAAAGATGAATATTTAATGTGCAGCAATAAGAAAACAACCCAACTCCCAGTCATGAAAATGTACTTTCAGCCAACCAATAAAACACAGTTTGGCTGTGGTCTGCAGGACCAACACTGTAGTTATGATCTTAACAGTTCTAGTTAAAGGGCTACTCCACCAATTTAGCATCCATGAAGTTGGGGGACTCACTAGACACAGACTTTTAGAACAATGATTAAAAATTGATGCAGCGTTGGTCGGATAGCCAGATTTTTAATTTCAAGTATTGGTCAAGCTTGAAAAACAGTGGATCCTAATGCACCTGGGTAGCATCTTTTATTGCCTTCTAAATGCTCACTTCTTGCAAACCTCACACCCTCGGTATGCAACTCAGACTTGTTAACATGTTAACTCCTCTTAATATGTTTAAAATCAGTCCCTTTAAAAATCATAAAACAACCCTGATGGAGTCCTGTATATTATGCAGACAACTACGCAATTTGCTTCTTTATATTCTTCTCTTCTAATTTGTGGACCAAACTTAAATCTCCCTCAGTTTTTGTCTGACAATGTGACTGAGGATTTAGTGCGCCCCCTTTTGGCAATCTTGGACAAACCAGAGAAACTGCTACTTCTCAGAGAAATAAGGTAAGATACATAAAGTACATGTACAGTATAATGCTGTATAAGTGTGCATTGATATGTTTGTAAATCTGACTCTGATCATATCATCTGCAGAATGTTGATGCCCACAACTGAGTTGGGTCGGTTTGACAGTATGGTCATGCCATTTGAGCTGGAGGCATATGATATTCTCAAGAGTCGCTCTGGTAAACATAGGAATACAATTAACAACACTTGCCAAGATTTTTTCTTATTTGTACAGTTTAGCATAAATACACAATGTTTGCAAAAATGCATAGGTGAAGCACATGCACATGAGTAAATCAAACTGAAACTCTAAAAATGATGGGGACAGTAAGTCCTGGGGAGTGGGACACATTCCCCATCCCCAGCATACTGTAAGTTATGCTCTTGGATGAAATAAGCAAGAGTCAAATATAGAATTTAGGAAAAGTAGGTAAGATTATGCAAAGCAAAGAAATGGAAAATCAGTGACATATCTTTAGTTGTTTCTTCCTAGTGCGTTCTCCAGGTCTGCGCTCCCCTCGCAGTGGAGTGCCTCGACGTCGCCTCATCACCCCAGTCCCTGGTATGTGGGCTGTTCTTTATCTCTTCCTCACCTCTTTTTTTCTTTCGTGCTCTCTCTTTCTGTCTGGTTAATAGCCTTTCTCTCGTTCCAGAGGAACATGACGCACACAAGGGGCTTACACCTCTCACCTTTTGTCTCCTTTTCCTCCCACACCTCACTTCTTTCCTGCCTTATCTCATATCTGTAGTGTCAAACTGAAATACCTACAGGCACAGCTATATCACATTCTTGGTACCCCCCCAACACACACACACACCCTCCCAAACTAATATAAGACACTTACAAACACACAGCCTTGCACCAGATATCTCAGGTTTCCTGTACCTGCACTGAAGCAGAGGGACTGAGGTGTGTGTCTAGTTGGCCAGTGTGACACTTCAACAGTACAGAGATGTTTTGAGCCACAGTCAAGAGTCACTGAGATACAATCAATACAGCCTGACTTTAGAGTGACAGCAGCTTGAGGTCACAGGTTAGGGGTCAAAGGGTCAACATCATGAAAGCTGAAAGAGCATCACTAAGGTATCATTGTTTTTCGAAGGCTGAGGTGGCTGACGTTGTATTGCACGAGGTGCAGACTGAGCCATTTTTGTCTTATTCTGGAGATGAACAGTCAATATGCTGTTAATTATACCTCACTAGTAATATAGTTGGGCCTGAAAATAAAAATTGCATATTGTAAGAACAAACACACTGAATTTTGATTTGATGCTCCTCCTTTTATATTTTTGTTTTGCAAAGTCAGTACCATCTCAGAGCTTTTAGTGATTAGGGAAGTGCTTGTTTTTAGCTGCTGTTGTCCTAAGGAGTTTAGGCTTTGTATTATTTTTGCTTTTATACCTACATTTATGTCCAACTTTAAAATAAAATTCAACCCATATTGCCATTCAGGTACTGCAGTGTAAAACTATCACCCAGCTGAGGAAGTAAAACTCTTTGTACCATATATTGAAGATAGCTCAATATAAATGTAGCTTGTTTTATCCGCTGTTTCTCAGGAATTAAAGAGAAACTCCACAGATTTGACACATTATTGTCTTTTTATAGGTCTTGGGTAGTACTACTACTATATATTTTGGAAAAAATAAGCCTTTTATGAGGACCACCACATAATTTGATAAATCAAAGCTAATGCTAGAAGACTACAAGTCTGTAAATGAGAGAACTGTGTTGTGTGGAGATAGAAGTGAGTGATCTTGCCAGAACTCTGTAGTCGGCTCCTCATGTCTGCCTGTGGCCACCAACTTAAGGTAACAGTACATTTTTTACTATTAGTACAATATACCTGAACCTTGACCAAAATTGTAGGAAGTGAAGTTGCATTGTGGGTAATGTAGGTGCCACTTTTCAACAAAAAACATGATGAATAATAAAAGTTGTCTCTGGTTTGAATAATCTTCTCATCACTGTGTTTATGTGTAGACGTTTTACAGATGTTCCACATCTGAAAGAAACCTGTACCTTTGCTATCTAAACCTGCAGAGTTAAAGATGAACTTACTGTTTTTATGTTTGTCCAGACTATAGGGGTGGCTTCCACCTACAGCCAGCACAGGACACCCTGCGGGAGCATCATTTAATCGGGGAGCTGGAGAGGCTGCATTTGTCTGGCCAACAGTCACGCCATCTGCCTCCATCACATGCCTTCACTCCCTTGCTGGATGTACCTGTGGACAGCTACACCTCATCCGCTGTGCGCTCCCGCTCTCTGAGCCCCTCGCCCACTCACAGCTTCCTTCTCACAGAATCCTCACACAGCACACTGTGTGGGCGCCAACCCCATCGATCCCCAAGCAGAAGAGAGAATGGGGTGTCATGGTGTGATGAAGTCTCCTTGTTGTCTGTGACTGACCGAGGAGTTATGACTCCTGAACGAGGAAGGTCTCCAGTGAGGAATGGCCATGGGAGAACGAGGAGGGAGGCAAGTCCTGACAGCCTAGAGGGCAGACGCAGCAGGCAAGAGGGCTACACAGAGGTCAGGGTACATGTTCCTTCACACCGGCAAGGGAGAACTCCTCTGGCTGATGTGTTTGAGCCCTCCAGAGACAAGAGCCCATCCACAGGCAGAGCAGTCAGCAGTGAGCAAGTAAATGGACATTCACAAAATGGTCATGGTATGAAAAGGAGAGCAACTCTGCCACCTGAGGAGTATGAAATCACTACTTTGACAATCTCCAAGGCCAAGCAGTCACTGGGTGAGTGTAATACAGTAATACATATATTAAAAACCTAGTTTTTGTAGTGCCAACACCTAGAATTACATTTTTGTCTTCAGCTTCCTATATTCATTACACCACCAGTAGAGGTCAGGGCATCACTTAACACTGAAGTGAAATGGATTTGGAGTTAATGCACTAACAATAGCTGGACAAAAATGAAGTGAAGATATAGACTATAATTTTAGTGAAAATACAGGAGTATACTGCCATTAGGTTATCCCTTAGTTTACACAGTTTTCCTATGTGTTTACAGGCATTAGTATCTCTGGAGGTATGGAGTCTAGAGTCCAGCCCATGATCAAGATTGAGAAGGTCTTCCCAGGAGGAGCTGCATCTACAAATGAGGCTCTGAAGGTAAACAGACAAAAACACATCTCAGTGTTTTATATAAATGGGTTTCAGTTTATTGGCAAATGGCTAAACAATTAAAAATTATGATTGTTCACCTTGAAGTCTGGTAATCATAATTACGTCGTCAACATTGTTCCTTCTTTACATCCTGATTTTAAGCACATTACATGTCTGTCCTGGTTGGAGTGTATTGTATGTACCTATCAGACTTAGTTTTTGTAATTGTTTTGCATATATTTTTCTCATTTTGTGGCTTTTTGTAATACTATAGTTTTGCAGCCATTTGATTGACTTTCCAACAGAAAGATTAACAGTCCCTTCATGGCTTGACCCTGGTAGGCCTCTTCAGTAATCAATCCATGATTGTTGTTGCTATAAGTAAGTGTGTCTATGATGAAGAGGTTGAAGGTGTGCAGTGGGGAGTGGAGAGATGACAAGAGAGAGCAATCTCAAGTAGCCCATTGCTTTCATTATTGATAAGGTACACGTGTGTCTGTCTGCTAATGTATTGGTAATGTATTGCCTGCACAGTAACTTAACAGTCGTACATGATCTTGTCCTAGTTTACTTAAAACAAATGAGACACATTCACTACAGTTAACCACAGGCTAATTCTACAAAATGCTAGAGTTAAAGACACAGTGGTCAAACAACACTGGCATTAAGATATTTGAATAGAAGTGTGTGGGCTGCGAAAGTGTCTGAAACAGAATGTATACTTGCTATAATAGGTTATATGCATATGTGTGTTTGTGTGGCTCAATTCACATGTGTTTCCAACAACTAGCTTTCAGTTGACAGTTGCTACCCAGGTCTAATGCCGTAGCGTCAAACATCAGCAGGATCCAGTATCTGCTCAGCCTTTCAAATTCATCTTTTCTCACAGCCTCTTTGTGCACACACAGATACCACACACAGACACACACAAGAGAGTATATAAACAGAGAGAATGCAAAAACTTCAGTAATGAAGCAAGAGCAGTGCCAGGAATGATAAAGACAGAAACTGAAGCAGAAAACTGGATGTGTAGAACTCAAAACCTGGCAAAAAGACTGGAACAGTACTGTGTGTCAACAGCTAAATGTTAACATAAAGACAATGCCAACATGCCAATGCTAAGCAGATATACATTATAACCATGTTCACCATCTTAGTTTATAGAATCAGCTAACATTTGCTAATTCAGAACAGAAACAAAGTGTGTTAGTGGCCTCAGGCAGAGTTGCTAGTGCCCTACAGCTTTGTTCCCTCTACTCACACATCACAACTAGGCATGTCAGCTCACTGATTTGGTGCTATCCAGCAGCGACACAAGGGCAGCTCAGTGTTAACATGCATCCTGTCTACATAGACCCTTATGATAACAGATAATCAGTGAAGAATGCAGTTGTGTGTATCTGTGGTCAGGTGTTCACACACTTTAATGTTTGTTACAATCAGTCATCTGCTTTTATCAGCTGAAATCTGAAGATGAATCTACTACGTCTATATTTATCTGGCTATATGAGAGATCAGAGTAACTAGTGGTAAAGCTGAATGGACCATCACCATTGTGAACTACTAGTTATGAAATCTGTTAACATTGTGTTACTGTATGTGGTCAGTTAGTCAGATATCTCAACTATTGCATAAGTTGTCATGTCATTTAAATATAGATATGCATGGTCTCCAGAGGACAAATCCTAATGACTTTAGTCCTACTGTATATGTTTTATCTACAGAGATTGAACTTATTATAAATAAGAGCTAATACTTGTCTCATTAGCTACAGGATCTGGTTGGATTTGTTTATGATGGCCTGGTAAACACATCATAAGAAATTCACTGATCCTTTCATGCAAGCTGTGGTCATTTTTACAAGCCATGTTATTTTTGGACTGTGACATCCACTGGCTAGAAAAAAAGGAATTCTCACAAATGCACTCCATAAATGGCTGTAAAGAGGATGGGGCAGCTTAGGTTGTGATCTGTTTAATTCAAATAAATTACTTTTCAAAAATGAAAAAGCACTTTTTAATCTCCTTTTTGGTTAAACTGATCTAAAGCTTTTGATACTGTTCTCACAGAAGGCTTTAAGGTTATTGGTGAACAGCATGAGCTGTAAGAAAACCTGTCAGGACAAACATACGTAGGGCAGCAAAGCTCTGTCCTCCTCTACTGTGCTGTGTGTTTGGCCTATAGCCTAATACATAGAATGGCCTCATGGGGAATAAATGGAAAATGTATCTATTTGTGTCTAATGACTGGAAAGGGAAAGGGAAAAAGACATGATTGGCGGAGATACAACAATGGCCACTGGCCTTGCATGTATCAGTTTTGTGTTGCTAACCTTCACTGAGGTTGAGCGCATGAGGCAGGTGCATCCTCGGCAAACACTGACAACATCAGAGGAAGTTCCTTTCCTCAGGGCTCCGCAGATCCACCACTCTCTGCTTACATCCTGCAGGAAACAGTGAGCAAACTGTGTGTGTGGTTGTCTCAGTGTATGTTCTTTTTGGAACAACTGTGCTGAAGGGGAAACTTTATACGTGCACTAGCGATGGCCTTCAGTGTGAATATATTACAATAATAGGAGAGCCCCAATTCTCTCTGGCATAAATCAGGCTCCCACTAAGGGACACAATCACTGTAGATTTATGGAAACTGTCTGTAATATTGTTGTGGAAAGAAGGCACGTTGTTATTAAAAAAAAGAAGAGACATGGGGGAGGAAAACATACAAAAATACATGTAATCATGAAAATCTTTTTCTGTTTACATATTGAACTTACCTTTTTTCTTGTTTTCATCTGTAGGCAGGGTATGAGCTGTTGTCTGTGGACGGTGAGAGTCTGCAGGAAGTGACTCATCAGCATGCGGTGGACGTAATTCGCCGTGCATTCAGCAACAAGGCCAAGGACCCAATGATTTTTGTAGTCAAGATCCCCAAGGTCCCTACCACCTCTACCAGCCTGAGGAAACCTGTTGACTAACCTCTGTGTGTCACAGCCAGACAGCAGCTCAGGCATGAAGAACAAAACCTGCTCCTGTGGGAGTGAATGAACTACAGGATTCACTCCAGAAGAGGAAATGTGGAACAGGTAAACAGCAGCTATGGTTATAGTGGAGAGGGTTAGATATGAAGAAGCATTAGTCCTGTTGAAGGCAGCGTTGTGACAAGAAGCTTGTCAGATACAAAGGTGAATATGCTGTACCAGGTTTTAAGACCCGTATAGTAGGTTATTTATCAGGTTCAAGATTGTTATAAATAACTTTTGCTACGGTGTAAAAGTACATAATGTGTACACTGTACAACTTTTATATTCCTAGAATATAAAATACATTGCACATTAACTTGACTAAACATGTTTTCTAAAGGGTCTTTTATGATAGGATCATGTGGTTCATGAATTCCTCCCTGGTTGAAACCGTGCCACTGTTTAACATGTGGCAACCTTGTTATGACCTCTGAGCGCTGCCAGATTGTGGAGGCAGTTTTCTGTCTCTTTCCAACTGGAGCATCTCAGTCCAGCAGTCCTGCAGCCCTGCCAGAGGGAGATTACTAAAGTCTGTGTTATGAGATTTATAGATTTATTTGCAGATTCAATCCCTGTATTATGTCAAAACTGATAGTTTGGGTTTAGTGGATGTCTGGGGGGATTATTACAAATTGCTGTTCAGAATTTTTGTGCAATATTTTTCTGGCGGTAGGGCTCATGCTCTGGAGCAATCCGCCACTTTAGAGGCTTAATTACACCATGCTGTGGACTGAGCTTATGCAGACATTTGGAGGAGTTGGAAAAACATGTCAATGAGAAATGCACCACATCTATGCCAGTGGCACAGTTTAAATCAACGTAGGGTAGAAGAGATATGAACAGCAAGATAACTGGAACATAGTGTGCATAGTGGCTTACTTCTGCAGATGGCCAATGGGGGAAAATACTGATAAAATGTTACATAAACTTACGTGCTACAAAATCTCTGAAATGTTTCAATCTAGACATGCAATAAAATTTAAAGATGAAATAGTGACCTTTACATTTTTGACTTTGATACTCATTCACTATACTTTGCTCACCAAGTCAAGTGAGGAAACAGTTGCTTTAAGGTGTGACAACTTCTTTAATTAAAATCCATCATTTGTACAAGAAATGTACACAAAAATATACATACAACTACATACTTTATGAATGAAACAATGTAAGAGAACTTAAAAATGCAGACAAAACTGAGAAAAATGCCACAAAAAGAAATGTTACATTGCTTTGGTCTAGTCACAGACTACAGAGACTAAATAGGATAATTTGTCTAAATAAAAATGGTGTCACTGTTATACTATTTAGTGTTTTAACTATTTACACAGAAAATAGTTATGAAACAATGACAGGAACTGAGATGTGAAGAAAAAATGAAAGTCTGGGATGCACACAGTACTTTGTAGTGAGGGAGTAATTTTGATTTGCAGCTCCTGTGCTTGTTGTTTATCTCCACCATTGGTGAGTGAGTAACAGTCTAGGTCTGGTTAACAAAATTAATCCTAACTTGTTCCATTCAAAGCTACTTCCCATGACTTCAACAGTTATGCACAGTGCAGACTTTTAATACTCTACACCAGGTGTGGGCAATTCCAGTCCTCGAGGGCCGCTGTCCTGCTTGTTTTCCAACTATCCCTTCCTGACCTGCTGCTGATTACCTGGCTCAGGTGTGTTCAGTCAGTCAGAAGCTGGAAGATACCAATTCACTTTATCTTTCCTCACTCCACTTTCATCTAAGATGGTATCTTCTAGCTTCTGACTGGCTGAACACACCTGAGCCAGGTAATCAGCAGCAGGTCAGGCAGGGATAGTTGGAAAACAAGCAGGACAGCGGCCCTCGAGGACGGGAATTGCCCACCCCAGCTCTACACCATCTCTCAAACCACAGCGAATGTGGTAAGGCCGTGCAAAATATTCACCGATCTTGGATTCACCAATGAAGTTTTCTGAAAGTGGTTCAATCAAATTTCTAAGTATAGGAAACATAACCCTTTCTTGGTTTGCATCACCTCTGGCCTCAACTTAATGAAGACGTCCCTCAACATGGCCCGTCTCGTGCAGTTAAATGAATGATGTGCACAAAACCCAACAACAAAGACATGGATCAGTGTGTGATATTATGATACTGATAATCAAGTGAGAGATTAATCAAATGGAGAGACAACAGGTCAAAACGTAGCCTGGAATAAAAGCTCCCAGTTTCTTTGTCAGCTGCAAAAGTTGGTCATCAGATAGTGTACGTTTGTGTCACACAGATTGTATAATGTAAACAGATTTTCATGCGTTACAGTATTAGGTGCACTCTTTCTAACCTGCTGCCTCCATTTCTAATTAATCCATTTGAAATATTGGTATGTGATAGATATATATCTATATATGTCTTTATACTTTGTATATTAAACCCACACTTAAACCAGTACTACACCAAAATATCTTCAGGTGCTACATATAAAAAAATATACATCTCCTCCATTATATAGATTTTCAATTAACTATTATTCCTTGATATATTCTCTGTAAAAGAAAAGTTCTCAGCCCTCTACCTTTTTTCTGCTCAGTGTTACACCCAGCCCTGCGTAAACTATTTACTGTAGGGCTTTAACAGCTGACCTGCCTTGAGGACATTCAGCACTGAGGCTACTGCATCTGCAAATTCTCATTTCACCGCTATCTAAACCAGCTTCCTCTGAAATCTGATATAACAAAGACATGCAGAGATGCCAGTCTCACTACCTGTATAGCAGTCGGTGAAGATTAGAGTCTAGGGGAGATGAGGAAGACTTTGAAAGTGTTATTTGGCTTTGGGCTGCCAAAAGCTAAATAAAGAGCACTAATGGAAATGAAGGGGAATAAATGGAAACTGAGTAAGCGTGCCTACAGTTCAAACACCATCTTAAATCTCTCAGCAGCGTCATGACCAAACTGAGAGAATTAGCTCCATTTTTAGTTTCCTGATACTGAGGTGTACAAAAATAGTTGAGTTAGAAGCAGAGACAGACATGGAAAGAGAGCAACAAAGAGACAAAGGCAGAAAGCAAGAGAGAAATAAAAATCAGCAACATCCTGGTGATGTTTCCCATGCTACCGTCTGCTTTCTAGTGCTACATACTTGTAAATATTTATGTCAGAGCTTGCTGCATTGCCAGAATGAATTGACACATTAAGTGCATGACTGTTGGTGGTCTAAAAACATCAGCTGTGCTCAAATAAAGCACTTCCTATGAATGTTTGGTTTCTTATGTGCCCTGTAGTTTGAGAATGAGTTGTCCACATGTATGAAAACCTAGAGCCACATTTTCAAAACTGCTCAGTTTAGAGTTAGTTAGTTGCTTCACAAGAATCTAATACAAAAGAAAGCAGGAAAGTTGTGCAAAAAAGTATATTTCCCTTGTTGAGCAGATTTTTCATTACTAGCAATGACCATTTACATTGCATTTCTCTGGAGTGGCAACAGTGATCACAATACATTCTTTTTCAAATATGCACTGCTGAGGAAATGCCTCTAGAATGAGCACAAGAACAAAAACATTCTTCTTCCTTTGTGTAAAATGAAATAAACTTCCGATCCTCTGAACATCAAGTACAAACGGCAAACGTTGCAGTATTTGGTGTTACTTTCCCTTTAGCATAGTTTGGATGGGTGATGAGGTCATCCTTAAAAGCCAGCAGTGATGGTGTTGATGGGACTACCGTCAAGACGTATCTTAACATGCATGCTGGTGGGCGGCTATTTAGTCCCGTGTACTACCAAAAAAGGTGTGACCAGATTGCTGTGCATGTGCTAAAAATTTTTTTGCTTGAATTTTTTGGTGATGTTTGATACTCTGATTTGAATGTGCTCTGAGGGGGAAACAAAAAACAAAAACAAACTTTTTCACTGCTTTTGCTTCCACAAAGGAAAGAAGTCTCTGTGCGGGCTTTGTACTGGAATTAAGCCTACTAAAAGCGCTGGGAGGGGGGGGACACCTTATAAAGACTTATTCCAATTGTTCTGTTTGCAGAAAGTAACAATGCACCTTTAGAGAGATCTCCCTTTTGACAGTGACGAGTGGTCGCTCAGTGGTCCAGGTAAAGTCAAGTTGAATATAGTGCGGTATTTGGCCTAGAGGTTGATGTTTGGTTTACATCTTCTGTGTCTTTTGTGAATTGTGTTCCCGTGTATTTTTGTGCGCATGTTACTGTGTGTGTTTAGATCTCAGTGGCGGTGATTTCTTCAAAGTTGATGTCATTGCTGCCGCTGTGGATCTCATAGTCCTCCATGACCCTGTTCTCCAGCTCCAGGCTCAGCTCCCTCATCACTCGCTCGAGATCCCGGTTTCGACGATACATCTGGATGTAGTTCTGCTGCAGCTGTTTCTGGTAGCAGATTACCTGGGTGCAGGGGAAAACACGGCATCATAGAAAGCTTTAAAATTTGATATCTTAGATGCATGTCATGAAAAATAAAAAAAAAGAAGTTAGACAAAAATTCCCCTTCCTACCTTTTCCTTCTCCTCCTGCCATACTCTCCGCTCATCCTCAAAACGTGACAGTTGCTCTTCACTCGTCCTCCTCTCGTACAAGAGCTCAGCCTTCAGCCTGTCCACCTGAGCAAAAGAAAGGGAAATGTTAGAAACTGTTCCGTTTAGTGGTATCTAGTTCTTTTGCTTGAGTAAATAAATAAAATGTGTACCTGCTGTCTGAGTGCAAACAGTGTTTCTGCATTCTGCCTTTGTGTCTTGGCTTCATCACTCTCTCCTCCCCAGACCAGATGAGTTTCCTCTCCATTACGGTACATGGAGGGACTGGGGCCACCCCTTCCTGTCATACCTCTACCCAGTTGGAGTGATAGGCTCATGCTCTGCCCCTTCGTGGTTGCATTTGCACTGTGACACGGTACACTGTGACTGGGGAGAGTGTCACGGAGCCGGGTTGACTCCTCTTCCAAACAGCCCACTTTCTCCCGCAGCAGCTCAGCTTCACTCTTGCGTCTTTGGAGTTCGTTCTCGCAGACTTCCAGCTCCAAAGATCGTGTCCGCAGGGCCATCTGGGCCTCCTGGGATCGAACCTGGCTGGCTTGCAGTTCAGATCTGGCTTCTCTTAGCTGAGCCTTCAGGACCACAAGCTCTCCGGCCTTCTGGCTGAGCTCTGACTGGATCTCCTTCAGCTGCTGCTTTAGGAGGGAGATCTCTCCTGACTTCTGACACACCTGCAGGGAAAAGAGAAAAGTAGTCAAATTGTCTCTCATGGCAGATTAAAAACAGACATTTTGGATTTGGATGCTCCTAGAAGATAAACTTCAAATTTTGACACTTATAAACCTATGGGGTTAATTTCAGCCTAGTAGGTGCCACCTTTGACTTAACACCTTTAATTTGGTGACACTTTATTAGTGAGTCAGCGGTCCCGAGATGAACAGAAACTGAGTGAGGTGAGGAACGACATACAGCAAAGGTTCCCTGTCAGTACCAGCTCAGTCTGCATCTAACTGTAGGTGAATCCCAGTTCCCTTGTTTTATTGTTCCTTGGTTCTCAATGCTTGCCTTGAATCAAAAGTCGTTTCAGTCGACAATGTTGAAAGACATCCCAAAGCTCTTATTTGTGCTCTGAGGAATAAGGCCGAAGAAGTGAGGAAGCTGTCTGGAGGAGCTATAACTGAGGAGACATGAATACACCCTTTGCAGATGTTTATGGATTGACAGGCCCACTTATTAGAAATCAGTTTTTGATTAGATGCTTCACATAAAGAGTCAGAAGGAAAGCACATCTTATGTTAGTTAAAACGTGTTTCCTCGGTTATTCTCGCAGTTTCTCCTTATATACTATGTGGGCAGGACTAAGATGCAAGGAAAGACACAAGTGAGTGAAACAAGCATGTACTAGGTATAAGTAAATTGATATTGGATTATTATTGTTGGATATGTGTGAAATTACATGTGTTGACATATCAACTGTTTTACATGCTTGAATGAATAAATTAAATCAAAATCAAATCAAATCAATCGAATCAAACATAGATGCACTGTTATTCAACATATGCCACCTCTGACCTAACACTTTTCCAGTGTCTGACTCTCACCCACCTCCCACTTCGTCTCTTCCAGACGTGGCCCCAGCTGGGTCTGCTCCCTCTGAATGGTGGCGTACCTCTTTTCCAGCATCTCTCTGTCCTGCAGCAGAGTGGAAAAGTCCTCCTGCAGCTTCTTTTTTTCCTGCTGTAGTTGAAATACCTGACAACACACAGAGATGTATATTTTCAAACTCATTTACATAATAAAACAGATATGTTGATCTAAAATAAGACATGCATAATCTCCAAAGTCATCACTAAACCAGAAGACACTAATAATTTCAACAAAATACTTATGCATAAGAAATTTGCAGCAGATGTATGATTCCAAAATTATATGTGTAAAAGAACAGAGCATCAGTTTCAAAAACATAATTGCACAAAGTCAGGGTCTGCTTCTTAACTAAATATAACTTCAGGAAACATTTTTCTTCAACATATCAGTTGAGTTTATAATATAACTCTGGAACGGTTTCCATGAACAATATTTTATCTTCACTTTCCCCATATAAATATCAGTCTGTGTAAATATTTTAGAGGTTTTTAAACACTTAGTGTACCTGTAACTGTAGCACCTGCTGTGCCCTCTGGGCCTTCTGAGAAGCCTGCTTCATCTTCATTGCACAGCTCTGTCTCAGCTCTTCCATCTCTCTTTCACAGCGACGCTGCTTTTCCTCGTATACCTTTTGGAGCAAAAGACATGGATGAAAGGTCAGATTAGTTCTTCATTTGTACTAAGAGAATGTCAAGTTGTTTATTTGGTGTTTTGAAAGAAAGTTAGGTCAGTGTGGTGAGGCAAGTGTCTTTATTTGTCACCTGGCAAATGGCAGCTTCATTCTCATCCAGATTTTCCCGCAGTTGCTGGAGCTCCAGGTCTCGTTCCCTCAGCTTGTCTTCCAGCTCCCTCACCACCACCTCATAACCCTCCGCCGGTGGTGGTGAGTGGCCACAGGATCCGCTGTCCGACAGGGGCTGCCCACGCCCACTGAGTGAACCTGAGCCTGTGCTCTTGCTGGATGAGGAACGCCCACTGTCTGAGTTTGTGTGACCATGGTGTGACCCACTTCCACCTGAAGTGTTCTGGCCCAGGCCGGTGACGGGCTCCAGCCGGCCCCCAGAGCCAGATCCAGAGTTTGAGCCCTCACTGGGGGCCAAACTGTAGCCTGTACTGCTGTGAGTAGGGAGGCTGGAGAGGGAATTCCTCCCTGAATCTGACATGGAGCAGGACTGGCTATTCCGAGCATTGCGACCTCCAGTGTAGGAATTGCGCTTGCCCTCACAGCTAGAACTGCTACTCCCTCTGTTGCCGTTCGCTCCGCTGGTGCTGTTGGATCCTCCGGGGGGCAGCACAAGGTTGAGGCTGGCCTGGCTCTCTGTCAGACTGCTGCCGCCTGGCCGTGGTGACAGATACTGCACCGAGTGACGATTCTTTGGAACGACAGGTTTGAACGCTGTAGGACGAATTAGCACTTTCTCCATATTCTGAAAGTACACATTTAAAAGCAGTATTAGTAATTAATAAAAGCTAAACTGTCCTAATTAGCAGCAGCTGAATAAAACTCATCAGACAGGGGTGTGTGATCTGCTGGCAGGTCACCCCACCAGGCTCCTTTTAGTTACATTTTAAAATTGATATTCACGGGCAAGAAAGAGAGAGAAAGTGAAAGAGATGAGGACAAAGAAAATGTGATTAATGGGCATAGAAACAAAGAAGAGGGAAGAGAGTGGAGCAAGAGAAGACAGGGGGGAGGAAGCACCTTACAAGTAAGCATTTGGAGGAAGCTCCTCATATCTGTAAGCATTTTTCTTAATCTTCCTCAGGATTGAGTAAATACATCAATGAATGTAAGTGAACTCTGTGTCTGCAAGGTAGAAGCTGACAAATAATGTCTTGGAACCTGTCAGACTAGTGATTAAGCTTTGCTTTGGATCGATGGAAATGAATGGGCGATTAGACAGCTGAGGTAATCTGTTGTAAAACACGTCAGCACACGCTGTAGAAATGTTCATCTCTGCTGAAGTCTTTCACACATGCAATGTGTATCCCAGGGAGAGCAGGGGAAAAGGCCTTGCTATAATGTTTGATGTCACAGCGTGTAATCTTGAACTGTAATTAGAAGAAGACATTTCCTATAAATATCTTCAGGTCAGATGTCATTGTTAAATACACAACAGTACTTATGGAGCTAGTAGGTATTCAGTTGCATACTGAAAGACACCCAAACACTTCCAGTACGGTAGTGTTTCTACTTCTGACACTACTCTATTGCCCCAAATGTATGTTGCGTAGGGGTGTGGTGAGATCTCGTGATATTAAAACATGATATTTCTTGTGGAAGCAAAAGCTGTCTCGCAATATCAGTACATATTAGGACCAGAGCAGCAGCTAGTTTGATGGAGAGTGATGGCAAAGTGATGGTATGAATTCACATTATCCCGGCAAAAATGCAACACCTTGCTGTGTTTTAACATATGGGGCTGCGTTGGTCAGGGGTTGTAGGGGGGAGTGTTGTAGGCGTGTACGATACGGCCATGTGGTGACGAGGTGATGTGAGTGGCTTCATTTACATTTCCTCATTTTAGTTTTCCTTAATGTAGCCCGATACTACATTATAGTATATATTTCTGAACTGCAGATTATTGTTCCTTATTAGCAGACATATACACTGATACCAACATATCTGCAATAAGCTTAATATTTTGGTCAGGCCAATTTACTGGTGTAGCTCTACTGCCCATTCCTCTTACCTTCTCTAACTGTCCTGACACTGGGATGAGTTTGGGTGGAGGCCCCCCAATGTTGCTGTTCAAAGTCCTGTTGTCCCTTTGGTCCTCCGTGTCACTGCAGGGGCTTGCGGCTGCCACCACTAGATTGTCGTTCCAGTCTCCAACTACCAATTTATTGCTCACATACCCAAGGTTCCCATTAGTGCCACCACCAACAGCTCCAGCAACCGTTCCACCCCCACTTGCCCCAGCAGAGTTACCAGGCCGAGGCTGCTTCTTGGTGGGCAGTGGTGGAGGCAGAACCTGGGCCTGAGACTGCGTTTGGTTGCTGACAACCAGCAGCTGCTCAAGGGAGCTCCCACTGCGCAGGGTGTTATCCTGGAGCCGGAAACAGCTGGTAGCCGGCGTGGAACGCCGTGGCTTGATGATGAATTCGCTGGCAGCCTGGCAGTGTCTCTCCTGGAATGTCCGGCCCGATATGAGACTGCTGACAGAACCCATGACTGTCCCAGGGCTACAGGGCCCACAAGGGCCTGAGGGTGAATGGGATGGTAGTGGCTGGATGTCGACACCTGGACTGGGGTGGTCAGTCACGGTCACAGGTAGTGCCTGAACCAGAGCCATGGCAGCCCGATGGTGTCAGACACACCACGCAATCTGAGAGAGAGAAAAGGAAGAATTTATATTTCATACTCTAGATGTAACAGATGCGAGTATTACAGTTGTGCGAGCTGTGTCCCTGCATTCAAGTTTGTTTTATTAAATATTCATAAGACATAATTCTTTCCTATTACTACGCATGATGTCATGACCATTTTGAAGGTGCTTCAGCCCCCATCCAAAACGACAAGGGCAGTTTCCAGACAAGACTGTATTGTTCCATTTATATGCAGACAATCAGCCTTTTATGTGAGAGCAACAGCTCTCTGCAACATTGTACCAAGGAGTTGCACATCATATAATACTTTTAAAAATAACTGAGTGGTTAAAATCCATAATCATCTGATACTTTGATGGATTCATCTGTTCGTGTCTTTTTGATTGTGTTACATGTAAATGCTTTTTATTAGTTCAAATTTTTAATTGGGACTATGGGTGCAAATTAACTGTTGAGCTAACCCTGACACATTTACACTGATGTTATTCATATATGTTGATTAATGTGCATTGTCCCATATTAACAAAACAAGCTGTCATAGTGGGGAAAGTGCAGGTGTTACTAATACAATTAATGATGCCTCTGTTCTACCAAAGTGTCACACTAAGAGATGAATGCAAGCCAACGTGTACAATACTAGGACCCTAAAACTAAACCATCTACATGCAGTTCAGCCATTGGTCACTAACGTTATTTGTGCATAACATCTCATCCATGTGTTAAAAAAAATGTGACAGAATCACTATGTGGTAACCTTAATTTGTTTGTATCTTTCACTTTTTTCAATATTAAAATCTGATGGAATGACTTTGCATACAAACATCCATCCATCCATCCATCCATTTTCCTCCGCTTATCCGGGACCGGGTCGCGGGGACAGCAGTCTAAGCAAAGATGCCCAGACTTCCCTCTCTCCAGACACTTCCTCCAGCTCCTCCGGGGGAATGCCGAGGCGTTCCCAGGCCAGCTGAGAGACATAGTCCCTCCAGCGTGTCCTGGGTCTTCCCCGGGGCCTCCTCCCAGTGGGACATGCCCGGAACACCTCCCTAGGAAGGCGCCCAGGAGGCATCCGAAACAGATGCCCGAGCCACCTCAGCTGGCTCCTCTCGATGTGGAGGAGCAGCGGTTCTACTCTGAGCTCCTCCCGGGTGACCGAGCTCCTCACCCTATCTCTAAGGGTGCGCCCAGCCACCCTGCGGAGAAAGCTCATTTCGGCTGCCTGTATCCGGGATCTTGCCCTTTCGGTCATAACCCAAAG